AGCAGAGCCTGGGCTCAAACACAGGAGGTCTGGCACACCAGTCTGAGTGTTTAACCGAACCCGTGTGCCTGCAGAAATACTTTGTTTTTTCTTCTGATTTATCTTTTCCTAAGTAGTGAGTTCAAATGTGGTTTCATATGTTTATTGCCATTACATTTCTTGTTCTGAGAATTGGTCCGTTTCTGTCTTTTGCTTGTTTTTCGGTGGTGTTGTCTTCTTAGCAAATTACAATAGATCTCTATTGATCATGGCTATTGACTCTTTGTTATAGTTTATCAAATTTTTTTCTAAGCTTGTTGCTTATATTTTTACTTTGTTTTATTTTAATATTACCAAGTTTTGCTTTATGGATTGAGGTATAATGAAGCCTTTTATCACCTGCAAGATTACAAGTATGTTTTCCTACATTTTCTTCTACTACTTTTAATTTTTTTTAAGTTTGATCTTTCACTCAAGTGGGTTTTATTTGGGTGTGCAGTGTGAGATGAAGATCAAACCTTTTATTTCTAGTAACACCCACAGGTTACTTTTGTAATTTGTCCATTTTTTTCTCTATGGTTTGAAAGATAATCTCTGTCTAATGCTATATTCCACCTATATATGTCCCTGGATTGCCAATTCTCTGGAATATTCCACTGGTCTAATCCTGCAGCGTCACACTTTTTACCATTATAACATAAAAGTAAGTTTAAAATCTTATAATTAAAAAGATAATCTCTATCAAATACTCAATCTTAAATTATAAAAGTTATTATAAATATTATATAACAAAATTGTATATAATATAAAATTTCAAAAGATATTTTAACATCTCATACATTTGCTTTTTCAGATAAACATTTGTATCAGCTTTCAAATTTCATTTTAAAATTCCTTTGGGATTTCTATTGGGAATAGATTGAATTTATAGATTAATTTAGGGGAAGGGATGAATCTTTCTAATCCTTACTCCTTATGATGTCTCAGAATAACAGCTAATATATATTTGTTGAATGAATGAATATATGTTTTGTTTTTGGAGATGAGGAGAGGGAGTAAATATTTGATCATTTTCTAGATGTTTTAAAAATTCTTAAAAATGATCATTTCACTTAGATTTTCAATTTATCATTGTAACGTTCTACATAATATTTTCACTTAACAATTTTCCCCATATTTCTAAGTATGTCTGCTTTCTTAATCCAAATGTGGTTTACTTTGGTTTCTCCACTTTTTGTCTTTGTCAGACTTGACAGAGTTTTACTTTATTGGTCTTTAAGTATATTTAACAAATTGCTTTTATTGATATGCTCTCTTTTTTACTTGTTTGATTGCCCTTTCATCTTAATTCTTCATTTTACTTGTTTTAGTTTATATGATTGACTTTTTCCTGGGTATTTTAGCTGAATGTATAGTGTGTTTATTTTTTCTCTCTCTTAGTTTTTAATACATATTTTTAGGCTATAAATCATCCTCTAATTTCTGTTTTGGCTATGTCCAGTAGTTTTTATATATATTCCTTTCATTATCTTTCATAAGTGAATAGTCCATAATTTTACACTTTTATTCTTTTTTAACCAAAGAGTTATTTTGAAAATAGCATTAAAAAATAAGTGGTTAGAGCAATATTTTTGTGGGGGGGGGGTGGGTGGCAACAGGTAAGGAGGAGAGAGCTATCCATATATTGTTTATTTCTAGGGTCTTTTTTTTTTTTCATTATAGGTAGAGAATAGAGCCTATATGATTTCCCCTTTGGGTAGTATATTGAGATTTCCTTTGTAGTCAAACAGTTAATTTTTGTAAACATTCTACAGGTTTAAAGAAATGTGCATTCTCTCTTTAGGAAAAGTATCTTAAGTCTGCTTATTAAATCAACCTTGTTAATTATGTTTTTCAAATGCTCTACAGTCTTATTTTCCATATATCTTAACCTGTCAGTCTTTAGGAGCTTGTGGTTTTCAGACATTCTCCTGTATTTCCAATAATGTGTTTATGTATTTTGAGGCTTTGTTTTTTCATGGAGTAAAGGTTTGTTTCCACTGTATCTTCTCGGTAGATTGTACATTTAATTGATACAAAATTTCTCTCTTTGTTCCCTTTGATTACTAAAGGAAGCCTTTTCCCTAGTGTGGCACTCCTTGTGATTTTTTTTTTTTTTTTTTTTTGAAGAGCCTGGAGTTATTTCACATTTTTCTTGCTTCTCCCTCTGCTCCAGCCCTCAAGCAGTGAGCCTTCCCCAGGCACATTTCTCCTTCTGTTTGGTGAGCAATTCTCAGCAGCAAACACTGCTGCTACAACCCACTGTACCTATGGGTGAGGGTGGGTGAGTGTGGAGAAAGGCTGGCACTAGGGTGGGCCAAGGGAGGCCCAGAGGGTGCAAAATTGATCACTGTCAGTGTCTGCAAAGTCAGGCAGACCTTGCATGCTGCTGAGAGTGAGTGCCTTCCTGAATTTGGCACTCTAGGGGCCTCACCTGCCTCCCCAGAGTCCCAGTCCTGCTAACAGAATCCATTGTCCTCCAGGTGGGCCTTTCAGGGATCTTGAGAGATTGCCCATCACTCACTCTGGGTCTTTCATATCTGTCATCTCTGAGTTTGCTCTTTCATCACTCCACTGAGAAGGACGACCTTCATTTCCATAGTAGCTATTCCTATACCTGTTTGGATTGTGGTTTACTCTGGTATTTCTGTTAATCTATTCCTGTCTTTTTAATTTTTATTTTCATCAGGGTAACAATGATAAATTAGTTAACAATGAAATAACCCTAAAAGAAAAACAGAAGGTCTTTACCTTGCCCTTCTTCACTCCCATTCTACTCGTCAGAGATAACCCTTGAAAAATTTCTAGCTGTTTCTTCTATTATTTGCCTTCACATTTCTAAATATTATGATTTCTGCTTTGCTTACCACTTGTAGGAATGCTTTATTGACTTCCACTCGTGATATATGTGTATATAGCTTTGTTACTTTACCATCCCCATTGCTCCAAAATTTCATTTTCCCAATATAATTTTTGGCTAAATTTGGTTTTTACTGCTGGGAAAAATAGTGTACTTATACTTCCTTAATCATTTAAACTTTTTTTTCTTCAAGCTAATAATGGACTTGTTTCTATATTTGATTAGTTTCCATGTGCTCCATCAAATCCATTATTCACTATCAACAGTTTCTAAGCAGTTATATCTATCAGATAATAATTTATCAATTCTCTTTTATTTAGTTTTTCTTTTCTAGGGAACTCTCTCTGGAAACGTTTTTCTCTCCTTCTCCAGTTTGGATCGATTGCTTTCTTGCTTTGCCACCTGGTTGTCATCCTGAAACTTATCTTGATGTTTTCCTTTGTTGGAGTCTGTGTTTTCTCTTGTTTTATGTCTTCCTCTTTCTTGCTTCTCATTTTCATGGAGCACATCCTTCCACAGCTTTCTACAGAAATATGGATGGAAGTAAAATATTTTCATGTGAAAATGTCTTTATTGGAGGTGTCACACTTTTCCAAGAGCTCTATCTTATGCCCTGATTGCTCCTATTCTTTAACTGCCTCTTCTTGTTTCATCAATATAGCATCTTTTATTTCTCTGAGGTTGTTAATAACTTGATTTTAAGCACTATTTCCTTTTGTGCTCTGCATGGTCTCAAGTTTCCTCCAGATCCCATTTTTATGTAAATTTAGGTCTTTCTCTTTCATGTTGGAGAATCTGCTCAAATGTCTTGTAGTCATTAGCTATAATATTTAAGAGAAAGGTGCTCAAAAGCTGATGGAAGCTCTGTGCTCATCTGTGGAGCTTGTTGGTGGATGAATTTCACTGTTGGATGATCAAGTGGCAAGGCATCCTTGGCTCTGGGGGACCCTTGAACTTCTGGATCTGAAAGTGTCCCTTTCCTTAGGCTTGGGTCTCAAGAGATGAACCTTCCAATCTCCTCTTTGGGAGGTATGATTTAGTGACTGACTTTCTGGAAGCAGAGAGGAGGAAGGGCCAGGGAGCTCCCCGTTCAGTACAACATTTTTAAACCCTGTGCCTTATTGCAGCCTTTCTCTCTGCCTGGTATCTTTGAGTCTGGAGCCTCTTAATTTAACGTCTCCTGCCCCCGACAGTTGCCTGAATACATACGAGAGGGGAGGAGATCTGGGAGTCTGCTGTGTACACAGACTTTGAGCCTGTGTCTGCCTTAACGCTCAGCCCTCATGCTCCACCATACCTGCTTCCTCCCATTCCTGAGCCTTTAGGTGTCATGGGCTACATTCTCATTTTTGCTCCCCTTTGCAGAATTTAGCTTCTAGCTTCCTTTGCTCTTTAAAGCCAACTTATCACTCTCCACCCACTCTCCACTTTTGAAAATTGTTTTGATGTCTTTGAAGATGACTTTGATATCTTTCATGCAGTGATGTCTTCATTCTCTCTTTTTCCTTACGTACTGGTGTCCTCTTTGCCTGGAACCCTTGTCTCTTCCTTCACTTTACTGTCACCTCCTCAGAAAGCCGCCCCTGGGTCTCCATTTTCTCCCTCTTGTATTGTCCCTTGGCCTCTCTAGGCTGCAGGCTCTATCTTTCATCACTCTTTACTCAAATCCTGGCACCTGCTTGATACTTACTTGTTGAGTGAATAAACAAAGCAGAGCTAGGTTGTTCTAGACTGGAAGAAGTGTGACGTTTTCCTTCTGCCTGGCCTGGAGGAAGCTGCCGTCAGAAGCACCCAACGTTGCCTTTAAAGAGCCAGATCTGGGACCACATACTGCTTTACGGGCGAGTGAAGCTGGGATCCATGCAGAGAGGAGGATGATGTCTGCTCCTCACTCCCCCACATCTGTGTTCCAGCTGTGATGACTTAAGCCCTGTCCCTTTTGGAGAAAAGTGTGTAGATCAGTGCTCTGGGGTTGGGACTTGATTCATAATGTTAATAATGACAACGCACATATATTGAGCATCTCCTATGTGCCGGGCACCATACTGCGTATGCAACACGCATAATCTCATTTAATTCCCATCTGGGGTAGATTATCCCTATTATTTCTGTTTTTATAAGTGAGCAGACTGAGACTTAGAGAAGATGAGTAACTCACTCAAGTCCATGGGATTCGTGAATGAAAGAACTAAACTTGGACCCAGGTCTGTCTGATGCAAAAGCTTCTGCTGGTACAGTCATGTTCTACTGGTTTCTGTGATGTTTTCCTCCCTCTACATTTAAGCATCACAGAATCACTGGCTGGAGTCATGACATCTCAAAGGAAGAAAAGATCATAGAGGTCATCTATTTGTTCCAACTCCTGTTGGCATTGAGGAGAAAATGTAAGCCTGACATTTCCAGCCACGTATCATTTGCACGGTGAGCACTGCATTTAGCATTGATGCCTCACAGGAAACAGTAGGATCAGAATCTGTAGCTAACCAGGGCAAAGAAGGGCACAAAAGCTGGCCCCAGATCATTTTTGGCAAGTGCACACAGCCCTCTGTCCACAGTGTGAATGAAGCTATACACCAGAGTAACTTAAGAAAGTACAGTGCTTGTCCTGAGAAAGGCACCTTGGGAATCTACTCTGACATAGATTTCCTTCTGACTTATAGTTGATATAAAACACCTAATGTTCCATTGGTCAGCTTTCCGAATCCCCTGTGCCACTGGGCTTTGTGTTAAATACAACACACATGGCCCGAGACTGCAGACTCAAAGGACAATGTGGAATAAAAACAGCAGGACACGATTCCAGGATTCACTATACGATACAAATTTTGGACTAAAATCACAGGATATTTCTCCCCACCCTTCCCTCCAAGTTCACCTACTCCCATAGTTCCTTAGGTTTGCAAAGATTTGAAGGCAAGGGGATTACCACTGAAGTAAGTAGATTTCAAGTCCTGGTGATGTTTTTGTAGCTGCCACATGTGGCCCAGTGTTAAGTGGCTGAACATTTCTGCTTGCTGGCAGCCAAAGTCAGCCCTCACCTCCTATGGAGCTCTTTCTGACTTCAAAAAGCATTCCACAGGGTTGCAGAGAAGAGGAAATGTGGGAGAGGGTTACCACTTACGCTGCCTGAATTCATTTTCCATCTTTGTGCTTTCTGGTTATTAAAGCCATGCAGGAGACAACAGAAGGGCAGAGGAATTTGAGGGCTTCTTCAGATAAGGTGCTAGAAACCCCGATATTTGAATGAGAGATTGCATTCTCCTAGAAGCAACTTTTTTTAAAAGCGTAACTAAATGTAATTTCAATTGGGAAAGGTTCCTGTAACAGATGTGCAAAGTATGCTGAATCAGTTAAGGGATCCCTTGCTATATATGAAAGCTCATCTCTTTGCATCTTTCTGGGGAAAAAACCCAGTCATTTGGAATGTTTTCCACAGTATAGCAATTCTGCTGGTGGCAAGCAAAGCCAGCCCAAGAAGGCACTGCTTACAGAATGGCGTAAGAAGCATGTCATTTACAAACCCTCGCTGTGCATAGCTGGAAAGCAGGAATGAGGCTGGAATAAATATAAGCTGGACAGTCCCTGATGGGGGACATCTTAACAGCAGCTACCCTGTTGAATTTTTGAAAAAAAATTTGTTTTGCCTGTTAGAATTTCTGAAAGCTTGAAGAGGACTTTCAAGTCTTCTAGATCATTTCGACATTGAAAATATTTTGTATAATAAATCTTATTTTGTTCTACTTTATATTTTGAATGAAATTTTAAAATAATAATTGATTTTTTTTAATTTGCAAACTTTTGGCAGAACTCATAACACAGTACAATAAACTGCTGCATGAGCCAACCTCCTCCAACCAATTTAATGAGATGTGAGCAAAATTTGTTAGATCAAATCAAATAGGCTGATTTTTATTTTCAAATGTAGTCAGTCAACAGATACTTACTGGACATACCTGCATGTAAGGAACTGTGTGAGACCCCATAGGCATCACATGTTTAGGACACAATGACTAACTTAGAACGTTAGACATCTTCTGTTTTCCTTCTGCAGTGATATGTATTTTTATTGGAGTATGGTTGATTTACAATGTTGTGTTACTTTCTGCTGTACAGCAAAGTGAGTCAGTTATACGTATACATATATCCACTCTTTTTAAAAATTCTTTTCCCATATAGGCCATTACAGAGTATTGAGTAGAGTTCCCTGTGCCATACAGTAGGTCCTTATTAGTTATCTATTTTATATATAGTAGTGTGTATATGTCAATCCTAATCTCCCAATTTATCCCTCCCTGGCTTTCCCCCCTGGTAACCATAAGTTTGTTTTCTACATCTGTGACTGTTTCTGTTTTGTAAATAAGTTCATTTGAACCATTTTTTTTTTTTTAGATTCCACATATAAGCGAGATGTCATATATTTGTCTTTCTCTGTCTGACTTCACTCAGTATGACAATCTCTAGGTCCGCCCATGTTGCTGCAAATGGCATTATTTTGTTCTTTTTTATGGCCGAGTAATATTCCATTGTATATATGTACTACATCTTCTTTATCCATTCCTCTGTTGATGGACATCTAGGTTGCTTCCATGTCCTGGCTATTGTGAATAGTGCTGCAATGAACATTGGGGTGCATGTATCTTTTCGAATTATGGTTTTCTTTGGATAGATGCCTAGGAGTGGGATTGCTTTATCATTTGGTAGCTCTGTTTTTAGTTTTTTAAGGAACCTCATATTGAGTGTGGACTATGAATTGGTTGTGATGATCTTGGGGAGGAAGGAGGCAGGGCCCTCTCAGCGGCACCTGCCCTTTGGTGCTGAACCTGACTTGAGTCAGTCTCTCTGTCACTCTGGGTTTCTGTCTCTCTCTCCTCGGTCTAACCCACAGGGTGGACTATGGTTGGAGTGGAGCTGGAGGTTTCTCTGTGTGAAGCTAATTGGCCCATTTGAGGCTTAAACCCAGATTCTTAGACCTCTTAGTATCTTACTGTAGACAAGTGGGCTTGGAACTTTGGATGCAAATGCTAATTGTTGATCACTAGGAATGACTTTCTCCATTGGGGTCCCAGAGGAGACAGGGGGGCTGGCTGGCTGCTGCATCAGCCCTGACTCACAGTTACAGTGAGAGCTTTGGTCCTCTGTGTAGAAACAAATGAAGTACAGGCATTGCAGGGCCAGTATGTCCCTCTAACATTCCAGGGGACGACTCAGTGGGCGACACATCCTACAACCTGGCCTCCTCCACGAGAACATGCATTCATCAGGAGTTAAGTTAAACAGTACCTAGAGATTGATGCAGATGTGTGAGCCACACGCGTATTTTTTGGTGTTAACCTAAAGGCTACCCTGGTGACTTTTTGAGGAAAAGCTGTCTTCCTCTTCTCTGAGTCGATGGATTTGTTGGCTTGAGTTTTAGAGCAACCTGAACAGTGATTAGGCTAATGGCCTTTGTTGGCTCAAGGCAGTGTTCTCCTTATGTTCTTAAATAATAAAGCTTAAACATCCCAAGAAATAGATGTATAAAGAAAAACATTTACTTTTTAGTGAATTCAAAATTGCTGCCTTCCGGTATTGAAATACATCCAATATGCACAATAGCCTGAATCTCTGATAGGCCTTAAATTTAAAAGATGGATGTCAGAAGAACCCATCAGTCAATGTCCAGATCCAGGATGTAACTATCTTTCTCCCCATGTTCAAACAGCCATTCCTCATCTACCCTGGCACTCTTTCGCAAGCCCAGATGTGTCATTGGAACCTTTCCTCAACACAAGTTTAAGTCAAGGGATTGGAATTGGCCCTTGAGATGACATTTATAGACCAGCTCTGATCTAGGTAGCTTCATTCAAGGAAATTTCAGAGTTCTACTTTTTTTTGCTCTACACTGGTTTATGTTTGGATATTCTCACTCTCCTTTTGTCATGACTTTTGTGTATTTCTGTCCAAACGGCATCAGTTTCCAACCTGGACTTAACTACATGTGCGGCCTTGTAGTTGCATGGGTACCAGGAAGCAAAGGAACTTTCCAAAGTCACATGCAGTTTTACATCATAATATGATGTCATATAATAGTAAATGACTTTTAGCCAGTGTTAAGTAGACTGTATGACTTTGCCCACTTTTCCACTGGGTGTGTCTTTTTCCAAGTGAATTATATAGACCCTTTATCAATTAAGGAAACGAGCCCTTAAGGCAGATATTTTCCCCACTTTACCCTTTGTCTTTTGTCTTTGTTTACAGTATTTCAGCCCATCCTAAGTTTTTAAATTTACGTTTTTAAATTTCTCAACACCCAGGAAATTTGTGGAGAGTTGGACTAAATCTCAAGATCCCTTCAAGTCTAAAGAAGATTCTGCAAATACTAACAACCACAAAATGAAAGGAACGCAAGTCCAGTGGTGGATTTTTTGCAGACTTTAGCAGGTGGGTGAAAGCCGCTTCTGTTGTCTAGGCCTTTCCAAGGATTCTGTCATCTCTCCTGTAAAATACTCTACTCCGCATTGTAGCAGCTGAACAGTTGACATTACAGTCAAGATATGATTTTTAAAATGTTTTTAAAATGTTTTTATTAGTGTTATAAAAGTCGTATGTTTCACTACAGTGATTGAATTTTTAAAATCCAGGCTCTGGCACCATGCCTACCCCTCAGGAATGTGCTGGATGAGTCTACCAATGTTTGTGGTAAAGGAATGTGATTCATGAAAGGATGAACCTCCCTAGAAGGCTTGGTGAGCTCAAGGATGCTCTCACACTTCTTCAAGGGGAGGAAAAGAAAGTAAGAACTTTGAATGCAGACACTAAATGACTTGGAGATAGCTTTCAGTGATTTATGATATAGTTTTGAACTTTTTGGAAAATATGGCTCCTCCTTAAACTATTAAGGTAAACTCAGTTATCTAAATTAGAGAGCTTCTCAAAACCTTGATGTGCATATGAATCATTTGGGGATCTTGTTTGGATGCAAATCCTGTGATTGGGTGGGGGGCTCAGGTAGGACTGAGATTCTGCATTTCTAGCAAGCTGCTTGTCCCCAGACCTCTCAGTAGCCAGGCTCTAAAATATAACTCTCCTGAACACAGTCCCCTACTCCATAGTACTGTATGCGCATATACACATGCTTTATATATATCTTTATATTCCTGCTTTCTCAAACATTAATTGGGAAATAGGCCATTGTTACAGAAACCGCAATGTGCTTCATGGAAAAAACATTGGATACAAAGGCAAAACATTGACAAATTGATACTTTCTTGCTTGGTCATGCCTGATTTAAGGAAATGAAGCCAAAATAGGCTATGTGAATTGGAAATTGACTTCAACCACATTTAAATTATTCTCTTTTAAAATATTAGCAGTTGAGTGTGTAAACCAATATTTATTTTCTAATCAAAGGTTTGTGGCAAATGGTCTATAAATGAAAGAAATGAGGGAAGAATGCTTTGAAATGCTTCTAGTAATAGAAATGGAAATAGGATATTTTATTTCTTTAAATGGCAGACACAGGCCTCAACTAAAATTCATCCTGCTCTAGGAAAAGGAAATTATATGAAAAGTTGATCATAGTATAAAAGCACAGGCCAGCACCTCTCTGCCAGCGATCATAATAAGTATTTTTTGGTGGAAAAAAAAGTTGACGATCCAGCTACATTAAGGGAGAATCTATTAACAGAGTAATTGTATAGAGAGGATCCCTTAAGAAAAGCTTCCAAAATTCCATTATCTTAACTGTCACTCGCCACTTTGAGTTGTCTTGGAGCTGTGTGTTTTCATGAATTACCAGAGCTGTTTGTTTTTTCCTTTATCAGTCATCACCCTGTCAGCCGGGCCATTCATAACAACTTTTGGCAGCTCATCAGGAGAGTTCAGAGCTTGAATAGGACCCTATCAGCTCTCACACCTCATTGTGTGAAACTGTTTACCACCATTGCCTTTTTCTGTAAATATTACAAGCAGAGCCCTGAAAGTGGAGACGTGTGGAAACAAAATGGACAAATCTTGTAGCAGTTGGCTGAGATGGCAGATGGGGGGTGACTGAGAATTTACAAGTCCTTGTGTTTCCTTTATTCGGCTGAATACTGCCCAGTCACTGGGCTTGCCTTCTCGTGTATGCTTGTTAATTAGACAATATTTAATTTGACTTAACATTTGTGTCAGTTTGGTGAAAGTGAGACTTTGTAATTAGGGAGTACAGACCAGGTTTCTGTCACAATTCTACTCACTTACCCTAATTTAATGCCCCCTTTTCCAGTGTATTGTCACACTTGGTGTGCTGAGTTCCCCCGCTGTCTTTTATGTTTGCCTAGTAACAAGGTGGCCCACATTATACAACCACCAGCAAATGGACTCTGTCTCCTGGACTTAACAGCCTGAAGTTTCTGCCAGATTCACCCATCAGAAATAATTTCTTATTTAAAGCAAATGTCAACAATTCTCTATTGAAGCTAATATCATGAACTTGCAAATGGGTATGATTTTTTTGTTCTCTATTTTTTTTTTTTTTTCAATTTTTTTTTTTTTGCGGAACATGGGCCTCTCACTGTTGAGGCCTCTCCCATTGTGGAGCACAGGCTCCGGACGTGCAGGCTCAGCGGCCATGGCTCACGGGCCCAGCCGCACCGCGGCATGTGGGATCCTCCCGGACCGGGGCACGAACCCGTGTCCCCTGCATCGGCAGGCAGACTCTCAACCACTGCGCCACCAGGGAAGCCCCTTGTTCTCTATTTTTATTGAAGTTATATATGCACAGATTTTGAAGTGTCAAGTAGTTCCAGGTTTTGTGACAAAAAATAGCCATGTCCCCAATCTCCCACCCCTACCGCCACAGACAACCACTTTCATTTCCTGCAGCAGATTATTTAGAAAAATAACTTCACAGTGAGAAATAGATTGTTTCACTGTACCTGTTTTTGGATGTTACATACATGGAATCATTGCTGTGATTCACTTCTTCCACTTACCATGAAGGTGGGTTTTCTTTTTTTTTACAAATTTATTTATTTATTTTTGACTGCGTTGGGTCTTCGTTGCTACGCGTGGACTTCTCATTGCGGTGGCTTCTCTTGTTGCGGAGCACGGGCTCTAGGCTCACGGGCTTCAGTAATTGTGGCTCGCAGGCTCAGTAGTTGTGGCTCACGGGCTTAGTTGCTCCGCGGCATGTGGGATCTTCCCGGACCAGGGCTCGATCCCGCATCCCCTGCATTGGCAGGCGGATTCTTAACCACTGAGCCACCAGGGAAGTCCCAGTGGGTTTTCTTTTAATTACTCTTTTTTAAAACCAAAGTATAATTTATATGCAATGAATGCACAGATTTTCAATGTACAGTTCAATACATTTTAACAGATGAATGTACCCACGTAACTGTATACCGAACTATGGAACATTTGCAATACCCCAGAAAGTTCCCTTATACACCTTTGCAATCAGTCCCCATCCATGAAGCAATCACTTTTGTTATTTCTTTCATCGTAGATTAGATCTCCCTGCTCTAGAACTTTCTGTACGGCATTATACATTAGGCACTCTTTTGTGCCTGACTTCCTTTGCTCAAAGTGACATCTTTGAGATTCATGCAGAAATTTATTCCTTTAAACTACCAAGTAATGTTTCATTGTGTGAAAATACTACTGTTTGTTTATCAGTTTACTTGTTGATGCCCAGTTGTTTCCATTTTGGGGCTATTGGGTTATCTTTTTATTATTGATTCATGGGAGTTTTATATATTCTAGATAAGAAGTTCTTTGTCAGAAATCAGCTTTGCAAATATCTCTCCCAGTCTGTGTTTCATCTTTTCATCTTCTTAATGGTATCATTTGATGAGCAGAAATTTTAAATATTGGTTTTGTCCATCTTATGATTTTTTTTTATGGCTTGTGCTTTTTGTATCCTGTCAAAGAACTCTTTGCCAACCACAAGTTCGTGCAAATATTCTTCTATGTTTTCTTTTAGAAAACATTGACGCTTTCTAGTTTCAGATTTTACATGAAAGATTCCTATCTAAATACAATTTTTGTGTTATGGTGTGAAGTAGAGGTCAAGGTTCTTTCTTTTTTAAAATATGGATATACAATTGTTCTAGCATCATTTGTTGTAAAAACTTTCCTTTCCCCGTTGGATGTGTGTATGTGTGTGTGTGTGTGTGTGTATACTTCAGAACTTTATTCTGCTTCACTGACTTGCATATCTATCTTTATACAAGTAACAGTGTCTTAATTATTGTGGGGTTTTTTTGTTTGTTTGTTTTTTGCAGTACGCGGGCCTCTCACTGTTGTGGCTTCTCCCGTTGCGGAGCACAGGCTGCAGAAGCGCACGCTCAGCGGCCATGGCTCACGGGCCCAGCCGCTCCACGGCATGTGGGATCTTCCCAGACCGGGGCACGAACCCGTGTCCCCTGCATCAGCAGGCGGACTCTCAACCACTGCGCCACCAGGGAAGCCCAATCATTGTGGTTTTTAAGCACAATTTAAAAGCAGGTAGTGTAAGTCCTCCAAATTTTTTCTTCTTTTTCAGGTTATTTTTACTATTCTTAATCTTTCGTGTTTTCATATACATATAAAATCAGCTTGTTAATTTCTACTACAAGCCTCATGGAATTTTGATTGGGATTGCACTGAATTTGTAGATCAATTAGGGAAGAACGGATACTTTAGCAATATTAATTTTTCCCATCCCTAAATGTGTTATATGGTTTAAGTTTCTTATTTAATAACTTTTTGCAGTACGTAGTAGTTTTCAGAATACAAGTCCTACCTATCTTTTCTTATATTTATTTTTGAATATTTTATGTTATTCCTTCAATAGTAAATGAATTGCTTTTAAATTTCATTTTTTAATAATTTGCTGGTATAATTTTGAAATATAATTAAACTTTGTGTATTGACCTTAATTCCTGTGACTTTGCTAAATTCACTTTTCAGTTCTAGTAGTTTTCGGGGTAGATTCCTTAGAATGTTTTATATATACAGTCATGTCAACTGCAAAAAAGACTGTTTTGCTTCTTTCTTTTAAATTTTTATACCTTTATTTCTTGCTTACATTGTTGTGCTAGAAAGGGCTTCCACTATTCTGCTGAATAGACATGGAGACAGTGGGTACCTTGTTCCTGAACTAAGAAGCATTCAATATTTCACCAATAAGTATGCCATTAACTCTTCTTTCTTCATATATTCCCATTATCAGGTTGATGAAATTCCTTTCTTTTCCTAGTGTTTTGAGAGGTTTTTTTTATGAATGGTGTGACATTTTTTGACATTTTCAAAAATGTTTTTGCATCAATTGAGATTTTATTTTCTCTTTGATTCTGTTAATGTAATGAATTAGAACTATTGATTTCATAACGTAAAACCAACCTTTAATCCTGGCATAAGCTCCATTTATTAATAACATTTATCCTTTTCATATAATGCTGAATTTGATTTGTTAATATTTTCTTGAGGACTTTGTATATTTATTCATGTAGGATATTAGTCTATAATTTTCTTTTCTTGTAATGTCTTTGTCAGGTTGTAATAACAGGGTTATGCTGGCCTCATTAAACTACTTGAAAAGCATTTCCTTCTATTTTCTCAAAGAGTTTGTATAACACTGGTATTAGTTTTGTGCTTAAACCTTTCATAGAATTTGTGAGTAAAGCCGTCTGGGCCGGGGTTTTCTTTGTTGAAAGGTTTTTAATTATGAATTTAATTTTGAAAATGGATATAAAGCTCTTTGAATTTTTCTATTTCTTCCTGTGCTAATTTTGGGAAGATGTGCTTTTCAGGGAATTTGTCCACTTGCTCTAAGTTGTTGAAATTATAGGCATAAAGTCATTAATGTTTTTGTCTTCTTGGAGAATTGAATCCCTTTTCATCTTGTAATAAGCCTATCACTGGTAATATTTTTTGTCTGAAGCCTACCTTGATATTAATAAAGCAACTTCAGCTTTCTTTTGAGTAGTGTCTGCATGGAATATCTTTTTTCATTCTTTTACTTTTAATCTAGTTATCTCTTTATATCTAAAGTGGTATTCTTGTAGGCAGCATATAGTGGGCCTTGCTTTTTATCTAATCTAACAATCTATCTTTGAATTAGTGTGGCTTACATTTAATGTGATTATTGATATGGTTGAATTAAAATCTACCATCTAACCAGCTCTTTTCTGTTTCTTCCCTTTGTCCTTTGTTTCTTTTTTCCTTTCTTTTTGCTTCCTTTTTGATTAATTGAGCATTTTCATGATTCAATGTTATTTCCACTATTGAATTATCATGCACACCTCTTTTGAAAAAAATTTAGTACTTTTGGGGTTTACCATGTACCTGTTATTTAATTGAAGTCCACTTTCACATAATATCCTGTCATGTCTAGTACAAAGAAAATATATCCCCAATTTCTCCCTCTCATTCTTCTTCTATTCTTGCCACATACTGACTCCTACATATGCTGTAAATACACAATACTACTATTTTTGCTTTAGGTAGTTATCTTTCAGAGCAATTAAAAATAATAAAAAGTAAATTTTGAACTTCGCTTACCTTTAGTTATTCCATTTACAGTGCTCTTAATTTTTTTGTGTAGATTCAAGCTTCTGTCTGCTATTATATTCCTTCTGTCTGAGGAACTTTCTTCAATATTACTTATAGCATGGGTCTACTGGCAATGAATTCGCTCAGGTTTGGTTTTTGGTTTTGGTTCAGGAAAGTCTTTATTTCTTGTTCCTTTTTGAAAGACATTTTTGCTGGGTATAGGATTCTGACTTGACAGGTTTTTGTTGTTGTTCAGCTGCAGAGACCTCATTCCTTATCTTCTGTCTTGTGTAGTTTCTGGAGAAGTCTACTGTAACTCTTATCTTTAATTTTTATTCCTCTGTATGGTATGTGTCTTTTTTCACTGGCTGCCTTCATAATTTCCTTTGCCTTTGGTTTTCAGCAGCTTGTATATAATATGCCTATGGTGTGGGAGTACTTTTGGTAGGGTAGCACTTATCCTGCTTGGTGTTCTTTGAATGTCTTGGAACTGTTGTTTCATATCTGTCATTCATTTTGGAATATTCTCGTGTATTATTTCTCCTTATTTTTTCTTCCTGGGATGCCAATTACACACAGGTTAGACCTTTTGTTATTATATCGTATCTCTTGGATGCTCTGTTGTGTTTTTCCACCCACTCTCTATCCTTCCCCACTGTTCTGCAATCCATGCCAGAATTGTTATAAATCCAGTTTCCACAGATGTGAGGGTCTGACTGAAGAAACTTCATTGCTGTTCTCCTCTTACTCTCCAAATCCTTGTGGGTTTATCCCTTTAAAAGATTGTTTTCTGCCATTTTAGTGGTCTTGGGAAGGAGTGAAAGGAGATGCACATAGTCAATCTACCATCTTTACCTGGAAGTCAAGTGTGAGTTTCGTTATTTAAATTAAGGTTAGTGGTGGTAAGGAACTAAATTTCCTATTATCTTTGAAATAAATCAATCTATTATATCATATTTTCTAATTTTAAAGGACTTTTACATTCTGCAAAATAAAAGAATCACAAATAATAATAGCTAACATTTATTATACACTTATCATGTGTTAAGTGTTGTAAATGCTGCTACTGTATTAACTAATTTCATTCTCACAACAGCTTTATAATATAGACATCCTTATTTTTTTCATTTTTACAGATGAAGATAAACTGAGGCACAGAAGATTAAGTAATTTTTCCAAAGATTCAGAAATAGAAAATGACAGAACTTGGCTCCTTAACCACTATATGTATTCTGACTACCTCCAACAAATTGGAAGATGGTGGCTTTTAGGTAATACCTTTGTTTTTGGTCTCTGCAGTCCTTCGTGTACTACTGTTACCTCTCCAAGAGTCTTAATCTATGAATCAGTAAGAACATATTCAGTGCCTGTTATGCGACCAGAATTGTTTTGTTCACTGCGGAGGTATAAAGAAATGCAGCAAAAAAAAAAACAAACAAAAAAGAAATACAGCAGGGCTGCTTCCTTCAGGGAGTTTACATCTCTCTAAGAGAAGGCCCCCACTAGTCTGAAAATAAGCTTAATGGTACAAAGTAGTACCATCATTCAGGAAGGTGAAAGCTTGATTTGATCTGGGTGCTCAGAAACCATGAAAAACTCATTAAAAACACTGATGGTTATTCAAGAGTATACTTAGCTTCTGGCTTACCCATGCTGCCTTTCACTTCTCCCTTTACCTCTTGTTTTTGCAGCCTAATTTTAGCTACTGTACTTTATAAATATTTTTTCCGCAGAGCAAATTGAGAGGATCGTTTATAAGCTCAAAAGATCTTTGTAAAAGTGTAAAGTGGGAAGAGTCTCAAATTCTTGGTCACAGTGATACATAGATATAGATATACCTTTTATTCCAACTATCTTCTTTCTCTGTCAAGATGGATAACTGAGAGTGAACATGTATTAACGTTAGGTGTTCTCTAGTATTTCTGGAATGGCTGTGAGTAAACAAAGGGTTGATAGATGCAATATTATCTTTAGATTGGCTAGCACAGGGACTGACTCCTAATAGATACCTAACAAATATTTATTGTTTCATGGATTGAATGAATGAAATTAAATCCTAAGGTGAATCTTTTTTAGACAATGAGGAAAATCCTCATGAGTTTGTATTTTAATTTGAAGGAGTTTTCCTAATTCAATGCACATCAACATGTCTTAGGGAGAAAGTTGTTGTAGTTGATTCATTATCCTTACCTGGAAGCTCTTCAGGATTAAGGGACGGGATTAACTCATAGCTTATGACCACTCCCTCCCTGGGGCAGTACCTAGAATTTGTTGGATGGAAAGTTGAATCATTTGACAGTATCTGGTTTGAGGCTGAAGGAAGTCTAAGTGCTCTATAACCACCTATCCCAACAGTAGGTTCTACACAAAACAGTAACAATAGAAAAAATTTTCAGGAAAAACTTGGTCATGTAGTAGTCAGACCATGTACTTTTTTTTTGGTGTTTTTATTTTTTTAATTTTTTTCAATTATTGGAGATTATATATATATTTTATATCTTTATTGGAGTATAATTGCTTTACAATGTTGTGTTAGTTTCTGCTGTACAACAAATTGAATCAGCTATATGTATACATATATCCCCATATCCCCTCCCTCTTGAACCTCCCTCCCACCCTCCCTATCCCACCCCTCTAGGTGGTCACAAAGCATCGAGCTGATCTCCCTGTGCTATGTGGCTGCTTCCCACTAGCTATCCATTTTACATTTGGTAGTGTATATATGTCAATGCTACTCTCTCACTTCGTCCCAGCTTCCCCTTCCCCACTGTATCCTCAAGTCCCTTCTCTATGTCTGCATCTTTATTCCTGCCCTGCCACTAGGTTCATCAGTACCATTTTTTTAGATTCCATATATATGTGTTAGCATACGGTATTTGTTTTTCTCTTTCTGACTTAATTCACTCTGTATGACAGGTCCGTCCACCTCACTACAAATAACTCAATTTCGTTCCTTTTTATGACTGAGTAATATTCCATTGTATATATGTGCCACATCTTCTTTATCCATTCATCTGTCGATTGGCATTTTGGTTGCTTCCAGGTCCTGGCTATTGTAAATAGAGCTGCAATGAACATTGTGGTGCATGCATCTTTCTGAATTATGGTTTTCTCAGGCTAAATGCCCAGTAGTGGGATTGCTGGATCATATGGTTGTTCTATTTTTAGTTTTGTAAGGAACCTCCATACTGTTCTCCATAATGGCTGTATCAATTTACATTCTCACCGACAGTGCAGGAGGGTTCCCTTTTCTCCACACCCTCTCCAGCATTGTTTCTAGATTTTTTGATGATGGCCATTCTGACTGGTGTGAGGTGATACCTCATTGTAGTTTTGATTTGCATTTCTCTAATGATTAGTGATGTTGAGCATCCTTTCATGTGTTTGCTGGCAATCTGTATATCTTCTTTGGAGAAATGTCTATTTAGGTCTTCTGCCCATTTTTGGATTGGGTTGTTTGTTTTTTTGATATTGAGCTGCATGAGCTGCTTCTATATTTTGAAGATTAATCCTTTATCCATTGCTTCATTTGCAAATATTTTCTCCCATTCTGAGGGTTGTCTTTTCGTCTTGTTTATGGTTTCCTTTGCTGTGCAAAAGCTTTTAAGTTTCATTAGGTCCCATTTGGTAGTTTTTGTTTTTATTTCTGTTTCTCTAGGAGGTGGGTCAAAAAGCATCTTGCTGTGATTTATGTCATAGAGTGTTCTGCCTACGTTTTCCTCTAAGAGTTTTATAGTCAGACCATGTACTTTGAAACCAAGCAGACCTAGAGTCTAGTCCCATCTCTGCCACTTAGGAGCTAGCCGTGTGACCTCAGGAAGTTGTTTAACCTCTCCAAGTCTCAATTTCCCAATCTTTCAGTTTGGAGCAGTAACAGTATTTCATATGTTTGTTGTGAGGATTGAATAAGATACTCCACACTGTGAACAACTACAGGAAGTGCTCAACAAATGGTAGATAAATAGTTATTATTCTACAGAGATTTCAGGAGTTGAGGCTGTGGCCATTTTGATCTGTAAAGAATCTTGACAAAAGTGGGGAAATCTAAAACAGAGATATCTATATGCTTCCTGTGTTTGTCTTTTCTTGCTTCAGGAATTTTGAGTGGTGTTTGTTTGACTATATGAGTGTGTGGAAAGAGGTGCGATAGGACAGGAGCTAGAAATTCTTTCTACTTTTAGAGAAATGCCCTCTACCAAGGATTTATGCTAACAGGACCCCATAGGCCCACCCTGTCAGCTGAGGATGAAAACAGCCAGAGACAATGGAATATGACACAGTAATGCGTTCTCATTTGTCAGGTGTCAGCTTGCCGATATGGTCTAAGGATATGGTGTTCAGTAATTCCTAGAAATTGGTAATAATGATACCATTTACACAGCAGCTCCTCTGGCAGTTTTCAAAGCACTTCCACATACACCATCTGATGTAATTTCCACCACAATGCTATGAGGAACCTGAAATAAATATTATCATTCCCATTTTATAGATGAGTAAATACATTCTGAGGAGCAAAATGACCATGCCCAAGGTCACATAGCTGCTCAGTAATCAACCTCAGACTTGAACCTGAGTTCTCACTCTGGGATCATTATTTTTTTTCCATCAAACAAACAGCTTGTTTGTTCTACATAATCCATCTCGTATTTTGAATATTAAGTGTGCTTGCACCCATGCTAGACCCTTAAGAATTTGTGTTTATAAGATCATTTAGTAATCAGTAGCAGCAGCTAACCTTGTGTATCTTTTTCGTCCAACAAAGAACAAAGTTGGTCATCCTGATACACAGGTCTTTAATGATGTCAATAAAAGAAACAGCCCACCCTTTGGTTAAAAGACTCTGAGCCTAGGGCTTCCCTGGTGGAGCAGTGGTTGAGAGTCCGCCTGCCGATGCAGGGGACATGGGTTCGTGCCCTGGTCCGGGAAGATCCCACGTGCCGCGGAGCGGCTGGGCCCGTGAGCCATGGCCGCTGAGCCTGCGCGTCCGGAGCCTGTGCTCCGCAAAGGGAGAGGCCACAACAGTGAGAGGCCCGCGTACTGCAAAAAAACAAAACAAAAAAAAGACTCTGAGCCCTCAAGGACCACTGGTTGTCCAGAGGAAGCCATGGTTATTCTGGTGAAGCACAAGGCCACGGTCGTTTTGATCAGTCACTCAATGGAGGGTCCAAAGCTTAAGCAGAATAAACTCAGGACAGACAGCACTGGAAATCTAGGAGTGTAACCTCACCAGCAGATGAGGTAGTGATGGATGACTCCGGATTATGGAGTCCTTTTCATCTCTCAATTTATATTCTGAGTTGTTACCTAGAATAAATCCTACTGTTTCTAATTAATGCACTCGTTGTCTTTATTTTGAATGGAAAAGGGAAAAAATGTGTTTATACCCCTGCTAGCAGCATACGAAGTATGCCTAAAGTGGAATATCTTTCTCCATCATGAATAACATTAATCTTTGCAGTTCTCCAAAGTAACTAATTGCTGTATAGTTGAATTCCTGTTTCTATGGATGGGTGAGTTTCCAGGTGACAATTTGTTGCAGGAAGAATTCTCTCCAGAACCATTCTTAAGATTATTGTCAAATTCCTTAATCAAGAATGAGAATCCAGGGAATTCCGTGGCAGTCCTGTGGTTAGGAATCCGCACTGTCACTGCCAAGGGCCTGGGTTCAATCCCTGGTCGGGGAACTAAGATCCCACAAGCTGTGCAGCGTGGCCAAAAAAAAGAAAAAAGAAGAAGCCAAACTGGTTAGGCTAAATACACAGACAACCAGTTGGCAACAGGCTGAGCTCATCCTTCCTGGATTCTTAATTGTCAGAGAGAATTGATGGATAAAGCTACAGAGGGCTTGTCATCCATTACAAATCTTCGAGTGGGAGGGGAGCCGCCACGCCACAGTTTTCTTCTATCCTGAGCCTGTCTTGTGTTTTTCCAAGTTCGTGAGTATGAGATGCCTGCACACACCCATGCCCTCTGATGAGATGATGACGGTAATAGTGAACCTGAGGATGCCACACCACTGTGCCATATTCTCAAAAGAACCCAGTTTTGTTCCAACAACAATTTTCAGTGAAAAGAATCATCACATTTTGCATATTCCCTTACAAGGACTTGGAGAGATTACATCCCTTGTTCAAGGTCACACAATTATTAAATGGCAAAGTAGGAATTTGAGCCTGGGTCTGTCTGCCCCCAACCCCAGGCTTTCCAGCATCAGCCTCATTGTCTCTACCGTGATAATGGCTTCCCTGTGGTAACTGTTAGAAGCTGGAAA